CAGCTTTCTTGCAGGGCAGCCTGCACGAGGAGATCTGGCTGCGCCGCCCACCTGGCTTCACTGGGTCGTTCCCTCCTGGTACCCAGTGGAGCCTCCGGCGGCCAGTCTACGGTCTCCGCCAGGCGCCACGTGAGTGGCACGACACACTGAGGACTACACTTGCGGCTCTTGGGTTCGCTCCTTCTACTGCTGACCCGTCGCTGTTTCTACGCACCGACCCCTCACTGCCGCCGTTCTACATCCTCGTGTACGTCGACGACTTGGTCTTTGCCACTTCTCACACAGTTGGTCTCGCTCACGTGAAGACTGAGCTGCAGAAGAGACACACGTGCACAGACCTGGGTGAACTGACAAGCTATCTTGGCTTGCGGATCACCCGGGACAGAGCACGGCGCACCATCACCTTGACTCAGTCACACATGGTGCAGCAGGTCCTTCAGCGCTTCCGCTTCACGTACTCCTCGCCTCAGTCCACTCCTCTGCCTACGGGACACTCGCTCTCAGCTCTGCCTTCGGATGAGTCCGTAGAGCCGAGTGGTCCGTATCCAGAGCTTGTGGGCTGCCTCATGTACCTGATGACCTGCACTCGACCTGACCTTGCATACTCTCTCAGCATCTTAGCTCGCTATGTCGCTCCCGGCCGTCATCGGAAGGAGCACATGGATGCAGCTAAGAGGGTGTTGCGCTACTTGTGCAGTACGTCGGGCATGGGGCTAGTGCTTGGAGGGCGAGACCGGCCTGTTCTCACTGGGCACTCCGACGCTTCTTGGGCAGACGACCAGGCTACTCAGCGGTCGTCCCAGGGTTACACCTTCAGCCTTGGCTCAGGCTCTGTCTCTTGGCGTTCTACTCGCTCTTCTTCTGTTCTCAGCTCCAGCTGTGAGGCTGAGATCTACGCCACGGCCATGGCTGCCCAGGAGCTTCGCTGGCTCACCTACCTGCTGACTGACCTTGGAGAGCAGCCTCGTTCTCCTCCAGTGTTGTACGTCGACAACAAGGCCACCATTGCCTTGTGTGGGGAGCACAGACTGTAGCACAGGACGAAGCACATTGCTCTGCGCTACTTTCTTGCTCGAGAGTTGCAGCAGCGAGGTCAGCTTTGTCTGCGTTACGTGGCCACTCGGGCCAACACTGCTGACGTGTTCACCAAGGCGCTTCAGCCTTGTGACCATCAGCGCTTCTGTACTGTTCTAGGCCTCGTGCCTACTGTCCCTCATTTGCTCACTTCGTGACTTTGCTTGTTCAGTGATCTCTATATATATATACCTGCATGCTTACTCTTGCTAGGTTGTGATCACTGTATCTCTTGTTCTTTTATAAATCTGCATGTGAACTGGTCTTGTGACCACTTGTTTGTGCTCGGAACTTGTGTGGTATCCTTGAGATCCACCCTGAGCTTTGCTTTGCTTTGACTGGTCTTGTGACCCCTTGTTCTCCCCCACTTTGCCTATGGGGGTGTGTCAAACATTGTATGTTGTGGTTGTTTAGGCTACAGTGGGTTAGCCTATAGTGGGTACACATTTCTAGGGTTAGGTTTGACCTATTTGTACCCAACCCTCATTCTAGTGATCCATTCTCATTCTGACAAGGAGATGCAGGGAATAGAGCAGCAGATGTAGCGTCTCAAACGAGGATGCTTGCACATGCCACTGAACCACATCTCATGAGGGGAACAAACCACACACTCCGCTCGCAACGTAAATATGGGCAATGTTTGCTCACGGTCTGTGTGGGGTGGTTGCTAATGTGCTGCGGGTCATTCCTGTCTGGCAGTAACATAAGTCCGGTCATAGCGACAGCAAGTGAAGTCAGCAGCCCCGTTAGCAGCACGACCGTTTCATCCATCCTCCCGGCCATTGGCAGCAGCAAAGCTTCGGGTTGATATAAGCTGTGCGGGTTGCGGGAACATCAAGATGAGGAGGGGGGAAAGACGGGAGCAAGCCAGAGAGCGAAGGGGCAAAATGAAGAGGCAGGCAGACGCCTCAAGAATGAAGGGGCGGGATGAAGAGGAACGGGACTGCGGGGGCAGAGGGCGCTGTGGATTTAGGGTAGACAGTAGGGAGGGTAATGACAGGGAAGAGGCAAGATGAAGTGATGGAGGGAGACGGCGCGCCAAGCGTGAGGCCAGGCGAGAGGAGTTGCGAGCAAAAAGGAACACGAGCAATGCAGGTGTCACTTTGGAGAATTCTCAGAAGGGATGAAGATGCGGATAGGGAGGCGAGCAGAAAAAGGCAGCCTGCCTCTCCTGAGGGGGAGAACGGTGAGGCCGCCAGGGTATGAAAGTCAATACCTTCTTTCAAACGTAGGTGAGCTTTCTGCACAAAAATGATGGTATGGTTTCACTGAGTGAATTGGTCGAAGAGATGGTAACATGGAAACAGTAACGAGCTCGAGGTGACCTATGAGAGGACTCGAAAGGCACCACTTTCTGCCAAATAACGATGGTATGGTGTCACCAGGTATATTGGCCGAAGGGGTGGTACACAAAAAAACAGTGACGTACTCGCAAATGAAGAGGTGAGATGGAGAGATCATTGCAAAATGAAGAGCAATGCGGAGAGGAGCTGCGCAGGCGGAAATCGGCATTGCGAGCACGAGAAAGGAGATGCCGAATCCAGACTGCGATACAGATTTTTTGCCTTTCAAGTCTTTCACATTCACCCTCCGCTAGGCATGCACCGAGTTCAGCACTGGTTCTAGGTAGTATGTGCCTTATTGCACTCAAGCTTCACACAAAACCGTTGCGACCACTTTCGTGCAAGGGGCCGCGTCGCTTGACGAAACGGGTATGGAATCGGAGGTCAGGCTGTCAGCCCAGGATGAAGCGACTCGCTAAGGGAACACCTCTGAGAATTCCTTGGACGGTTCCGTTGAAAGAAGAAAGCATGGCTGTTTTGCGACGACGACGACGACTCCGACTCCCCCGTGAAGGGGATCGCTTGAAAAGTTGAAACGAATAGAGCGAGCGCGGGAGAAGATTTTCTCGCATCGAAGGTGAAAATGGAGCAGAGGAGGGATATGATTTGGGAAATGGTAGCAAGCAGAGCCGAAATGGATCATCATGATGGCGTGTAGTGGGTGACGCTCGATCGCCATGACGTCACACGTCAAAAAGGTAAGGACGGGAGATGTGTGAGAACACATAGTATATCTCAACGCATGGCGAGTTGCCAGCAGGACACGTCGACCGTGGATGCACGACAGGCGGCGGGTTGCGGACGACCTGGATTATGTCCAACCTCCCTCGAATGTCAGCGTCCACATTGGCGTCCACGTGTCACCCGACCACGCCTCAAGCGTCGCGCGGGAAAGAACGCGCGGGCCGTGAGAATGTCGGTGCGTGACACGCGGCGTCAATCGGCGTCACGGGGTAAGTCTACGTGGAAGAAATCTGCGGTCAAATTGAGCACTGAAGAGGAACAGGTGGGCACCGAAATGCCGGCGAGCATCGACCGGCGAGGCAGGGTCCAGGTGTCGAGCATCGGCGGCCTGGCACGTGCACAGGAATCAGACGTGGGGGCAGGATAAATATCGGCGCCGGACACGCGGCGTACATCGAACGGCGATGCCGGGTCCAAGTGTCGAACATCGGAGGACTATTTCTTGCACGGGAAAACATAAACCGCGGTGTCCGCAAAGTCGGCGTCAAAGTATCTCGTGATGCCAATCACCGGTGGCACGAGTGCGCCATGAATGGACTCTGGACCAATGCCACAAGCCTCGGCGCACCTTGTATTGCTGCCGTGGCATGCCTTACGAAACACCTTCATGGACAGTCACGGCGGCGTTGTAGTGGCCATGCGAGAGCCGTGGCACGTCGAAGAATGCGCCGCCTCGCGTGGACAGCGGCATGAATGCCAAGTGTACAGAACCTTGCCTGCACGGTGGCATGTGCCGAGCCGCGCACGTCCATGACCTCTCCGGAGCCAAGCTGCCACTAGCCATTTTTCCTACTCCCACTTCCTTTCGTCACTTCTTACGCCTGCGCTCTCACACTTAATTTTTTTCCACCAGGACACGCTCTGCGGAGAACACCGCGGCTCCGGCGTCTGACGCCGACCAACAGGTGAGACCGATTATCGGGGCACTGGGTTTTGTTGGTCGTAGCAGCCGATTTCACAGTTTCGTCGCCCGTTTTAAACGGGAGGCACAATCAGCCAGATCCGTGGAGAAAGGCCGAGACTGGTTTAGGGTTGCGTGTGCGTGGTCAGCGACCGGCCTGGTGCAACGCCGCCGGAAACAAACCCACTTGAGGGGGACATCGCCGTGCAGTTGGCGCAAGCTTCTCTTGCCGCCCGCTTAGAGACAGACACTAGGGTCACTAGGTCACTAGAAGCGAACACAACGCAGCAGCAGTACACCGCCGCCATTACCCAATACCGCCATTTTATGCCCAACCCGCCGACCAACTCGCCGGCTGGCCCTCAGTAGACCACAAGCGCTGTTAGGACATATGGCCGAGGCCAACATGTCGGACTACGTTCCGCTGGCAGCCCAGGCGCGGGTGAACCTGACCGATGACGCCACAACGCCGGCCGGCGTCCGCCCCACCACCATTCCGACAGTGATGCTGCGTCTGATTTACGATCTAGATGCGTTGGCTGAAATTCCCGTCGACCCTGACATTCCGCCGCCACCTGTAGGCGACCCCCAAAAGCGACGTCCTAGCAAGCCGGAGGAGGACTCTTCGTCTAGCGATGAGGAGGAGGAACCCCAGCCCGGCCCGGGACCTAGACGCCAACGTCGGCCGCTCACTTGAGCCGAGAGGGATCGAAGAGAGATAGAGGAGGCGTTGGCCGAGGACGAACTCGAGGATAGGCTGAACGCGAGCGTCCCGCGAAGAGAGTTTACGGCGGCTGAGTTTGTGGTCGAGGATCTGAAGAACAGCGACATCGAAGTGCTGATAGCCAATGCCCTTCGCCACACGGAGACGCTCGAGGAAGGGTCGTCGCTGCGGCAGTACATATCGTGGATACTAGACTACAAGCGGTGGGCGGTGGATGCTCTTCCGTCATAAGGTCCTGGAGCCGGGGTCCATACTCACTGACAAGGACGAAATTGGCAAGCACATCGGCGATGATTTGGGCGAACGTTGGCACACCGACCCGCGCCAGTTCATCTGGTTGCACAGCCCGAGGACCAACGAGCCTCGAATTCGCGCTTACGTCTTGTTCAGAGCGCGAGAGACCCTCATCGAGGCAATGAGGAGCGAAGAGGGCAACACCGCCATGCGCACGCAGCCGATCAAGCCTTGCACGGTCAACATGCTACTCGGCCGCATCAAGGACCTTCAGATGGCGGCCAAGATAGAGGCGACCCTGTACAAGGAGAAGGAGCTGCACATCATGCAGGACATCTCGGTCGTCCGCATGGAAGTGCGCGTCATGGTTCGCGGAAAGAACAAAGCCGGCACCAAGTAAGATGTTTTAACATCGCCGACTTTGCCAGTCCTCTCTAGTATTCCCGCCAATGCTCACCGACGCCGCTCACACTCAATCATCACCCTCGCACTCTCCTCTTGTGCAGAAAATATGTCGACCGACATCGCGGAACCATCGGCGACACTTATACCACCGAGCAGTTCTGCAAAATCATGTTCAAGGTGTTGCCGCACTAGTCGGCGACGGCGTGGAATCCGGGGGGAACAAGTCCTTCCCAGACTCTGTGGAAGTTCATGCTTATGAGAACGATGACCCTGCTATCGCACCACACTCTGCTCCGCGGTGCGAGCGTACGCGAGATCACGCTCGCCGACATCTTTCTGTACCGCCTTGCTAGCGGGTCGTCGGTGAACCCTGACAACCGGCCAATGGTCATGGTCATCGCGCAGCACAACTCGAAGACGTGCAAGGACGCCCGTCTTCATCACAGCTACGCGGCGAGGCACTTAGAGGCGGAACTGTGTGCTGTGGGCGATACAATCCTCTGGCTGCACTTCATCCACGACCAGGTCCCCCAGATCTTTGGCGTCCGCATAATTCGCCGCTGGACGTACGCCGACCAGAGATCTGGTACGACAAGCATCTCTTCTTCGCCCGCTATGACAAGGATCAGGGTTTGTTGCCGTCGTCGAGCCAGCAACGAATCACTCGGCAGCTGTGGACGGCCAACAAGGTTTTCATCAAGCGCAACGTGCACGCCGCTCGCGCCGGCGGGGCACAAGAGCTGGCTGACCAAGGCACGCCGCGCGCCGAGATAGCCGAATTGGGTCACTTAGCTATTGACAAGATGACGAGGAGTTACATCACTTCAATTCCAGTCGGGGTGGTGATGAGGAAGGCCGGCTACTCCGGAGCCCGAAGCGACTACTTCCTGGGCCGCAGCAGGCTACCTCTCAGCGCAGACCTCGAAAAAACCATCGCCGCGCACATATTTCCCGGCGTCGAGGAACAGTTGGGGGCGGTGAGTGTAGCGACGCCGTCCTCATGCATCTTGTCGTCTCTCTTCACTGGTTCACACCGACATTCCTCTATTTCATGCAGGCGGAAGAGCTCGCACAAGGGCCTAAGGCGAACACGGCCGCGGTGCACTTCATCCAGACCATGCTGGATGCACGCCGCATTGCGGCCGAGGACCTCGCGGTGAAACTCGTCCGCACTCCGTGGCACCCTCAGGTCCAGGCTTCGAGGCTTTGTCGGATCGCGACTTTCAGGCGTGGGCAAAGGACATCGAGAAGATTGACACCGAGACGATCGCCAAGCGCCGGTCGCCGATCCCGACGCAGCCAGCTGTAAGCACAAGATGAACCCCGCGTGACTTGGCGGCAAGCGTGCTTGCATCACCTGACTCCTAACCCGCTCCGCTGCTGTTCGCAGGAAATCTCAGCCCGCCTGGACACCGAATTTCAGGTTGACCTTCTGAACGAGACGCTGGCCCACGAGAGGCACAAAGCGACGCTCAAGCAGATGAAGGTGGAGAAGGAGCTCGAGGAGGCGCGTGCTGCTATCGCGGCGAGGGACGCTGAGATCTCCCGGCTGATGGAGGAGCTCAAGATCTCCGAGGCACGTAGGGCGCCAGCGCCACAGGCGCCTTCTAGGCCGACGACCCTGGAAGAGAAGGCAGCTGCGGCCGCTAAGCATGCTCACTTGGACGCCGACGCTCGCTACGAGGCCCTGGTTGTCGACCCATGGAGAAAGGCCGAGACTGTGGCAGAGGCCTGGCGCTTCTGGAACTGCCCCACCACCACGGACCGCCGGCGTCTCTGCGACAGGATCAACGAGCCAGGTTTCATCGGGCGGCACAGCCTCCTGGGCAAGTCGTCGGCCAACGCAAAATAGGGTGGGATGCGCCGAATGAGGAGGGCAATGGAGGCCGTGCGCCACTTCCGCGCGTCAGACGGAGAGGCCAACACCGCCGCCGTCATCAAGAAACTCGACGAGCTCGCTGCGTCGGGAATTGTGACCTTCTGCGATGCTCTGAAGATCATCGACGCCGACGCGCTACCGATACGCACGGAGGGGAACCTGGGCATCAAGGGGCTTTCTAAGGGTGAAAAGCCCAAGCTGACGGTTGCTTGAGGACTGGTGGCGGCGGGATACATGACGCACAGTGGGGCGAGGACATGTTCTCGACCACGTGGGAAGAGCAGAAAGCTGTGGTGGCCCAAGCGGCCGCAGAGCAGGCCGCTGGAAGACCGCCGCCACCGACGACGAAGACGTCCAAGCGTCGGAAGCCGGGCTGATGTTTTGTATGGGGGGGGGGGGGGGGGGGGGTGGGGGAGGGGGGGTTCGTCGCCGCTTAGCTACTTTCTTTTAGCTCGATTGTGACTTTTGTTTCCGACTTTGACTGTGGATTCAATGTTCCCAACAGTTGAGAATTTGCCAAAGAACCGAAAACATGAGGGCGTTTCATGAACAGCAAATTAATCTACGTGCTAGAAACACAGCAAAGTGCACAATAAAAGTCGGCGCCCACCAAAACCCCAAAATCAATCCACAATCTTGCTACACATTGCGACGTCGGTCCAGAACACAACGACAAACACAACAACAAAACCCATCTACGTGGCGTGCTTCCCCTTCTGTCCCTTCTTTCCCCTGTTATCCATATCCTTCTCCATCTGCTTGTCCAGCGGCACTTGAATGCCGCGTGCTCGGAGAAGGGGGCCGCCGGCGTTGCACGACCCCCAGAAAGCGAGGGTCTCGATAGTCGCCCTCGCGATAATCTCGGCGTCGGGTGTGGGGTCACAGCCCTTGCACGCCTTCCGAAGAGCATCCTTCTGCAGTGCATCGGTGACGTTGCACGAGACCTCTCCCAGGACGGGTTGTCTCGCAACCGCCATTTCTAGCACCGCAACCACAACGTCGTGACAAGTGTCAGCAAAATCGGTTCTCGCTTCACACAGCAGTGCCGCCGCCTTCGCTTCACCCGCCGCATTGCCGACCTCGGCCACGGTCTCGGCGAAGCTCCAGACGGCGCAAGATGAAGCAGCGACAGCTTGGCCTATGCGCTTGGCGTCTGCACCAGTTTTGGGGACAGCATCTGCCGTGACTGGCCCAAACGCCGCGCACAAGCAAGCGCGGTTGATGACGTCGCTGAGCTGCTGCTTGCGCTTGGCCGGCTCCCAACCAGTGCCGAACCACACCGCCGGCCTCAGCACTTTCATCAGCGGGGGCCCTGATGACTTCTTCTGTTTGAAGTCGGCGAGGACTTTCTGGAACCTATCACACACGACGTTGGAACGTGAACGTGGTCAGTCAGCGTAAAACCCCACAGTCAAACCTATATCACGCCGCTCAAAACACATCGAGTCCCACGATTCTTACCGTGCACGAAACATGGTGGCGCCGTGGGACCACATCACCGTCCACATACCCTTCGGCATCACCTTCGCCTCCTCCCACTCCGCCTTCCATCGCGTCATTTCTTCGGCTTTAACGCCGGTCATTTCGGCCAACAGGACTTGGCTGGCGTGTCCGTCGAAGATGGTCGTCGCAACGCCGTTGAGGTACGCCACTTCCATCCTGTTGTCCGATCTCCCCGTGTAGCGACTCTTTCCAGCCAGGTTCACCTCGCCCTGCCACCCACCACCGCTCGTCCTGTCCAGCCTAATACCATGCCCCCTGCGATCTTTCGGAACGACGGCCTTCTGCGACGCGGAGGCTTTACCCTTCCGTTTCTTCTTTTTTTCGCCGACTCCAGCCGCACGATCGGTCTGTCCATCCTTGTCGGCGTGTTCACCTACTGGTCCACCGGCCAGAACAGTGGACGTCCCCGCCTGACCCGCCAGGTCCACAACAGTGACGCCCGCCGACCTGTCCGAAGGCCCGGCCTGGCCGGCCTGAGTAGCCACTGTAACGGCGGTGGGCCGAGTGGACTGTCCCGCCAGACCAGCCTGGTCAGAACCAGTGACGCCGCTCGGGCCGGTCTGGAAGGCCCTATCCACCTGTATGAAGCCGGCAGGATGATTCTGTATGGGCGGAACAGCCTGGCCGGCTACACTGACGCCAGTGGACGCCAAACGGGCCGGCTGCACGGTCTGCCCGGCCTGGGTGGACGCTGTAACACCGGCAGGCCGACCGTCCATGCCACTGATGCCCGACGTACCTCCCACAGACTGAAGTGCGGCAACTTCGTCTGCTTCCATCGCCGCTTGTATCAATTCCACATCCTCGTCCTCGATGATGAGAGGGATCTCCCCCGCACCATCGTCTCATGCCACCGCGCCCCAATCACCTTGTACGGACGCCGCACCGACCTGGTGATGCGTTGGCACCGCCGTTGGAACCGTCTCGTTTGCCGCTTCTTGGTGTACGGGCTCCCCCAAGTTCACCGTGGTCGGCGCAGTGCGCGTGCCGTGAGTCTGCGGTTGAGCGGATTGTGCAGCTGCTGAAAGCACGTTGACCTCGGCCATCAGCATGTCCGAGACTGGGTCCGACGGCGTGGCAACAGCGGCAGGGAGCTACATGGTCGGCGCAGCGCTGGTGACAGTAGTTGGCGGATGCGATGAAGGTGTCGCCGCTTGAAACGAGTTGAACGCGGCCAGAAGCATGGCCGCGACCGGGTCCGTGAGGGTCTGACCGGCGTTGTCTTGCCCCGTGGTTGGTGCTGCGGCGGGCCCAGTTGTCGGCGGATCAGCAGATGGTGCTGCCGTATGACGCGCGTTGACATCGGCCGAGACCGGGGCTATTGGTGCTGTACCGGCGACAGGTTACGCCCCCCTCGCGAGTTGTTGGGACAGCGGCGTTGTCGATGGCGTGCTGCGATGGCGCCTGAAAAGCAAGAAGCTCCTCCATCAACGCTCTCGCCACGGGATCATCCTCCACGCCGAGGGCGCACGTGTCCTCCACGCCGAGGGCGCCCGTGTCCCCCCCCACGCCGACCACAGGAGCCTGGTGAGTCTGATCGCCGATTGACGGAGCCTCAACTTTGAATGGCGGCCCGCGATCAACGCCTGTCGGGAACAACCCGGCGTTGGTACTGGCACCGGTCGCCGTGTTGATGGTAGGTATCGTCGCGCCGGCCTGCATTTCAACCGATTCAACGGCGACGTTACCACGATCGGACGGCGGTGGTGCTACCTCGCTTGCTCCATGACGTGGAATCTCTGGACCTTTCCTTCCACCGCCATGAGTGGAAGACCCGCCAACTCGCACACCCTCATCGGCGGCAGTTCTGCCCTCCGAGCTGCTGCCGGCTCCGCCTCTACTTTGCGGGCCAAGGAGCCGAGTTGTCGCCCCTTTTCTCCTCAGCATGTCGAGGACGGGAGAACCGGACTGGGCACGATCTGGAACGTCGCCGCCGACTGCTCGCTCCCCACCAACACCTTTACTCCGCTTCGAATTTCCCGCGTTGTCGCCGTCGGCTGCACTTCCGCTGCCAGCCCTTTTTTCCGGCCTTTGCCTTTGCGTGGTCTCTAGGTCGCCGGCCGATGGGGACGAACCATGCCGCCCCAGCCTCATTGTAGCAACCACGTTGGGCAGAAGCGTGAAGCCGGCGGTTCCCAGCGCCTGCTGCGTGACCGCGGTTACCGCCTGAACAATGTCATCCCTCATTGCTTTGATGACTTCTTCAGGCAGCGCGGGGGATGGACCGGGCGGGGGCGGCGCGATGCTGCGGGATAAGCCGCCGACGATGTTGGTGGAAGTTGAGGCTAACTTGGTCTGGATGTAATCGACCAACACCGCCTTAATGTTATCCCCCACGCTGGTCACGTGGTTCCCCAACCGCACGTCGGCATCACGGCGGGCGTCGGCCAGCTTGTCCAAGCCCTTTGTGATTTCCCCCAACAACGGCGTCGCCATGCTGCTGCACGCCTTGACCAGAGCAACCCGATCGTCCAGCACCTTGGTGAAGACGCCGGTCATGGCTGCTGTGGCTGTGGAGATGTGTGTCCCCGCGGTCTGATCAGCGGCGGCGACGCGTTCGGTAAGCGACTTGACAGCCGCGAGGCACTCAGCCGCCGTCGCCAACAACCCCTCCGTCCGACCCCTCTCGGTAACCAGATCCGACCGCAGCCCCGCATTCTTGTCCCTCAGTTTCCTGTTCTCCTCTTCCAGTCGCTTCACATGAGCAAGTGCGGCTGCAAACGCGGACTTTGAAGATGTGGTCGACGCAGGCTGACCATGCACCGGCGCCTTCCTACGAGGCTTGTCCCCAGCCGACGCTGCAGTTGCGCCTGTCCTGCCAGTCGACGTCGGGTCACGACCAGCACCGTGGCCGGCGTCTGTGTCTGAATCAGCACCAACAGCCTTCTTCCCTGCACGCTCCTCCTCCTCCTCTTCATCCTCCTCCTCCTCGGATCCCGACTCTGACTCTGAGTCAGTAGATGACTCCTCAACGGACCCTGCCCTCCGCTCCTCTCCTCCTACCAAGTCGGCCTCGCCACCGCCGCCAACATCACCGCTAGTTCTAGTGTCGTGCGCGCCGGAATACACCAGGCGATCCACGCCAGCTTGAGACGCCGTCTTAGTTTCGATTCCGTCGTCGTCGAGGGGGGTGGTACTTGGCCCAGTAGGGTGATTGGCCGGCGCCGACCACCTCTCAGCAACGCATCTCTTGACGTATTCCACTAGCGCCGATTTGAGTGCCCTCAACCCCTGAACCATCGGGTTCTCAGCGCTCGCCGGTGCACGTGACTTGAGCAGGGCTCCGCGCTCTCTGACCACCCATCCGAACGCGCTCACAACATGCAATCCGGTGCCGACCTGTTCGTTCTTCACAATGTCCGGCAATCTCTGCGTACAACCGTTGCAAGGGCAGGCTAGGTGAGCCGAGGGTGTACCAACGCAAGCACTGTTAGACGACCAATTAAAGTCGGCTACAAGGTCGACAGAAACTCACGTCGCGCGTGGGCCCGTCGCAACCGGCGAGTCGAGCCACCACGACCTCCTCAGCGGGAGGCGCCCACTTCCATGTTCTGTCACTTCTTCCAAGCTCAGCCAAAACGCAGCGCCGGAAAAAGCTGCAACAGCAGTGCACGAAAGAGTCAGTGGGGACGCCGTCGAGAAACCAGTAACCTGGTAAAGAGCCTTCCCAATTTAAGCATGCCTACCTCAGTACGGCGAGCGCCTCAGACGAATGCAGCCGGTTTGCAGTCTTCGGGTCCAGGTGGCGGAACGAGGTCTCGCTGTCGACGTCGACGGCCTTCAGTAAGTCGCCGGGCCGAAGAACCACGACGACGCTGCAGTGGACCCCGGGAAGCGGCCCGATCCTGCACATGAGCCATGTGACGCCGATATAAAACATCGAGGTCCAACATGACGTCAACGACAACGCAACATCGCGCTTTCTCACGTCGTGATTATAGGTAGCACAGCAATGTCGGCGTCGAACACCGACTCAAAACAGGTGAGGTCGTTCTTCTTAATCGCCTCGCGAAGACGGCTGCACCCTATGATCCACGGCAAGTCCATCGGAGCTTCGCGAATCCACATGTGCCTGCAGTCAACGAACTCGTGGGGACATGTGGCATCGGTTCAGGATTGCGAACTCATTGCCGGCGAAAGTAGATAGGATAGCGGCCTTGAACGCCGACATGGACGCGCTCACGACAACCCTAGGCATGAAAACCTTTCGTTGACCGAAATCCTTGTGAAACTAGAAACGTGAATGAATTGACTACGAACGAGGTGAGTACAAATAGGAAACCCTAATTGGGTTGTACCCCCTATGGGATACCCCACTATAGCCTACACAAACAAGTAAGCTATAATGTTCTGACACACCCCCATAGGCAAAGTGGGGGAGAACAAGGGGTCACAAGACCAGTCAAGTAAAGCAAAGCAAAGCTCAGGGTGGATCACAAAGTCACCACACATTCCGAGCACAAGGTCAAGGGCCACAAGGCCAGTTCGCATGCAAGATTATATATAGAGATATACAAGAATCAAGCAAGCAAGAGCAAGAGTATATATAGGTCAAGGTACAAGCAAGGTCAAGAAGTGAGCAAGTGAGACAAGACAGGCACAAGACCCAGCTGCGTACAGCAACGCTGATGATCACAAGGCGCAAGTGCCTTGGTGAAGACATCAGCAGTGTTGGCCTCAGAGGCCACGTACGCAAGTCGCAACTGTCCACGCTGCTACAGCTCACGAGCAAGAAAGTAGCGGAGAGCAATGTGCTTTGTCCTGTGCTCCAGTCGCTGCTCTCGACACAAGGCCAGCATGGCCTTGTTGTCTACGTACAGGACTGGAGGAGAACGAGGCGGCTCTCCAAGGTCGGTCAGCAGGTAGGTGAGCCAGCGAAGCTCCTGAGCAGCCATAGCCCCGGCGTAGATCTCAGCCTCACAACTGGAGCCGAGAACAGAAGACGAGCGAGTAGCCCGCCACGAGACAGAGCCGGAACCAAGGCTGAAGGTGTAACCGTGTGACGACCGCTGTGTAGCCTGGTCGTCAGCCCAAGAAGCGTCCGCGTGCCCAGTGAGGACCACTGGACTGCGCCCTCCAAGCACTAGCCCCATGCCCGACGTACTGCACAAGTAGCGCAACACCCTCTTCGCTGCAGCCATGTGCTCTGGTCGGTGTCTCCCAGGAGCAACATAGCGTGCGAGAATGCTGAGAGGGTATGCAAGGTCAGGTCGTGTGCAGGTCATCAGGTACATGAGGCAGCCAACAAGCTCTGCATACGGGCCACTCGACTCTACGGACTCATCCGAAGGCAGAGCTGAGAGCGAGTGGCGAGTAGGCAAAGGAGTGGCCTGAGGCGAGGAGTACGTGAAGCCGAAGCGCTGAAGGACCTGCTGCACCATGTGTGACTGAGTCAGGGTAATGGTGCGGCGTGCTCTGTCCCGGGTGATCTGCAAGCCAAGGTAGCTGCGCAGTTCACCCAGGTCAGTGCACGTGTGTCTCTTCTGCAGCTCGGACTTAACGTAAGCGAGTCCAGCAGTGTCCGCTGTGGCAAAGACCAAGTCGTCGACGTACACGAGGATGTAGAACGGCGGCAGAGAGGTGTCGGTGCGCAGAAACAGCGACGGGTCGGCAGTAGAAGGAGCAAACCCAAGTGCCGCCAGCGTAGTCCTCAGTGTGTCGTGCCACTCACGTGGCGCCTGGCGGAGACCGTAGACTGGACGTCGGAGACTCCACTGGGTACCAGGAGGGAAAGACCCTGTGAAGCCAGGTGGGCGACGCAGCCAGATCTCCTCGTGCAGGCTGCCCTGCAAGAAAGCTGTGCTGAAGTCGAGAGAGTGCAGCTCGTAGTCACGGTGAGCAGCAACGTGTAGCAGTACCCGAAGAGTGGTCATCTTCGGGGTGGGGGAGAAGGTCTGAAAGTAGTCAACCCCCTGCCGCTGACTGAAGCCACGAGCCACGTAACGCGCCTTGAAGACAGGCGGAGATCCCAGCGGCCGCTTCACCCTGAAAATCCACATGCCACTGACGATGTTCGCCCCAGGAGGGGGAACAGCGTCGACGTAGGTGCCTGTGGACTTCCAGGAAGCCATCTCTGCATCCATAGCTGCATGCCACTGAGAGGAGTAGGGACCCTCTATCGCCTCCGCGTAAGAGCGCGGAGTCGGGATGTCTAGTGCATCCGGGTCTCCCTCAGGGGCTAGCAGTACAGACGCGAGATGAGGTGAAGCGGCGGCCAGACAGTGGAACTCCTCCTGCCTGTCCTCAAGGACGTCCGTGCCAAGGGCACACTCACCCCCGACGGACGGAGGACAGGCAGACTCAGACTCAGCGACAAGACTAGCAGCGTAGTCTAGACGACAGCGCGCAGCAAAGTCGACAAGCTCAGTGACAAGGGCAGACGCAGCAGAAGACTCGAAAGAAGGGTCAGTGACAGCAGTAGCAAGAAGACGCGTGACAGTAGGACTGGCAGCACGAAGAGAGTCCGACTCCGGGTCGGCAAGAGCAGGAAGAGAGGAAGCAGGAGGAGAAGGCAAAGGGGCACGCAGAGGAGCAGTGGACGGACGCAGAGACATCCGGTGCGTGCCAGGGACAGGAGGAGGACGCTGACGCGAACCGCGACCACTAGCGCGCGCAGTACGAACAGGCGACGCAGGACGAGACGCAGGCTCACGACGCTCAGTAAGACCTCCAGTCGGACCAGCGTAGGGAGAAGGAGCAGGCAAAGGGGAGGCAGGCTGTAGCTGTGACTGTGACGAGACAGGCTGTGGACCCTCTAAGGGAGGAGGAGGAGGACCAGGAGAAGGTGTAAGACCAAGAACCTGCTGCAGGAGTGGAACGAAGTACGGCCGGGGCCGCGTAGCGACGCCAGAAACAGCAGGGACAGCACCAGTACCCCCAGCAGGAGTACCCGCTCCAGCAACACCTCCAGGAGCTCCAGAACCTCCAGCAGCACCACCAGGAGCACCGTCAATCGGACCTCCAGCGGCAGTCTCAGCGTCAACACCCTCAGCAGCACCAGCTCCAGGAGAACCCTCAGACCCAGCAGCTCCAGCACCCACAGTACGAGCACCGCCGGGACGCTCGGCAGCAGTACCCTCAGCAGCCGAAGAACCTCCAGTACCAGCAGCACGCCTCCAGCGTCTGGCAAACCACTCACGTAGCTCCTGAGGGGAGAGTGGCTCTCGGCGAGACGAAGCACCTCCAGGCGGAGCACCCCCAGTCTCAGCACCCCCAGGCTCAGCACCCCCAGGCTCAGCACCCCCAGGCTCAGCACCCCCAGGCTCAGTACCCCCAGGCTCAGCACCCTCACGCATAGTACCCCCAGGCACAGCACCCCAAGGCTCAGCACCTCCAGACTCCGCACCCCCAGGCTCAGCACCCACAGGCGTAGCACCTCCAGTCGCAGCACCCTCAGGCTCAGCTCCCGCAGCCGCACTAGAGTCACCAGTGACCTCGACAGGCTCGACCGCGTCTACCTGGGACACACCTGAAGGGGCAGGACCCTGAGGGGGAAGGGGGTCTACCGGGGGGGGACCTGGTACCAAGAAGAGCGGGGGCGGGGGGAGGGACGGAGTGCGGTAGGGGAAGAGGCGGTAGTAGGGTACCGACTCGTCGAACGTGACGTCCTGGGAGGACAGAACACGTCGAGAGGTGGGGTGGTAGAACTGCCACCCGGGGGCGTCGGGGGGGAACCCCAGAAAGACGCAGGGAGCAGCGCGAGGGGACAGCTTGTCCGTAGACAAGTCGCGGACAAACGCCCGAGATCCCCAGACCCGGAACGCCGACGCATCGCCAACCTTCCCCGTCCACAGCAGCGCTGGGGAGGTCTCCGGCCTAGAGACCCTGGGGTGGAGGTTGATCTGATGCGCTGCGTACCGGACCGCAAACGGCCACAGAAAATGGGGGGCAGCCGCATGCATCATAGACGTACGAGCGACGTCCATGACCCTGCCAATGCGGCGCTCTGCAATCCCATTCTGCTGCGGGGAGTCCGGAAGCGTGAAGGTCTGGCGGATGCCTCGCGCACGACAGTAGGCACGCAGAAGGCCAGAGGAGAACTCTCCGCCTCTGTCCGAGTGCAGACGCAACACAGGAAAGTCCGAGCCAAAGCTCTGCCTGAGCTGGAGACGAGCTGCGCGGATCCAGTCGATCAGCACCTCAGTGACATCACCCTTGCTGCGCAAGGGGAAGACTGTGGTGTAACGCGAGTAGTCGTCAACCACCAGTAGGAAGTAGCGCTCGTGACCGAGTCCACGGACGCGGGCAGGGCCCCACACGTCCATGTGAAGCGTCTGCAACGGAGCCTCTGTCGGAGGAAACTGGGAGGAGTGAGGGGCAGCACGCTGGCGCCCCTCGACACAGGGGACACAGGCAGGGCCAGGGCCCTGAGGAAGGGGAGGTAGAGACCGGGGAAGACCAGACACAAGAAGACGGGAGGCCATGCCTCTGAGCCGAAGCAGAGAGGGGTGGCCAAGACGGTGGTGCCAGAGGAGGGTCTCGTGAGACAGACGGCGACACGAACAGGGGGCAGACTCAGGACCAGACCTGGACGCAGCAGCAAACACCTGACCAGACGAAGGCACGCTACCAGACTCAGCACCTGGAGGAGAAGCAGTGGTCAGTGTGTACAGGCTCGACCCTGGCTGACGTGTAAACGTAGCCAGGTGACGACCCGTGCTAGCCTCCGTGCAGTGCGTCACTCGCTGACTAGCAGGGGTGAACTGGTGAACTCCCCCATCCTGTAGGTCAGCACCACTCACCAAGTTCGTAGAGAACGAGGGGAGGTAGAGACCACACAGGGTGCCAGAGGGAGCCGCCGGACACGGGAGGACCGTGGAGAAGCGAGCCAGGATAGGACCCCCAGAGGGGTCAGCCAGGGAAACCGCAACCGGCCGACTAAGCGGCGTAAGTGTGGTGCGGTCCCGAAAGAAAGAGCGAGACGCTCCAGAGTCAAGAGTGAAGGTGTGGGAGGCCGAAGCCGACGCAGTACCTGAGAGCGCAGACGCACTAGTACCTGAGAGAGCAGTCTCACGAGTACCTGGGAGTACAGACGCACTGGCACCTAG